CTGCCTAAAAAAATGTATCAAGTGTTCAGCCAGAAATGTGAGTCATCTCTTCCACCTTCTCCTCCAATCCCTTCACAAAGCCAAGCAGTTCACCAGGTCCTGCTGATTCCCCCAAATCACTGTCTGCCATATTCATCCATTTCTCTCCATCCTCAAAGCTACCACCTTTGGTAAGGCATTCAACTTCTGCCCAGAGCACTGGAACAGCCTCTAGTCAGGCCCCCTCCAGGCCACCCTCTGGGCTGTAGCCAGAAAGATCTTTCTAAGGTCAAGTGAGTCCAGGGACTATTCTTTTTCAAAAGTCTTCAAATGTCTTAACCATTGACTGTGATATTTCAAAGCTCTTCACCACTGGTCCCATCTCTTCTCTTCAGCTTCATTACTAACCACTCTTCCCTCATGAACTCTATGCTTTGCCACACCAAAATTTTCATTGTTCCCTAAATGGGTCCATTCCTTCACATCTCTGGGTCTTTGTGCTGTTTCTTCTAGAATGGCATTTTATACCTTCTCTTTCTAGAAAACTCATATACTATGAGACCCATTGATGGAGGATATCTAGGGGAAAAAATGGTGCCTTTGAAACCAAGGGAAGAGTAAATTTCAGGAAGGATGTACTGGATATTGGAGTTGGCTACCCAAATCCATTTTTCTCCTTCCCTACCTGGTAATAGCAATTATAGTAGGGTGGGATTGGCTCCATTTCAGCGACAGGAGTGGGACCCGAATGATCTGAACCAATCAAGTAATTCCATTTCTTTGCCATGTGGATGGGAAACCAATTCATAGCATTTCCCTGGGCACAGTGATTGATTTAGGGGTGGGCACATGACCTAAGGTGATCTAATCAGAATAGAGCTCAGGCCTTTATATTTACCCCAGACTAAAGGAAAATAATAGCTCCTCCTTTCTCCTCCTGGTGCATAGAAGGGAACAAAAAGCATGTAGTCTCAGGGAATGCTGGCAGTCAACTTAGTACCATGAGAAAAGTCAGTCTGAGGAGAAAGCCAACATAAATAGAGGGCAGAATCTCAGAGGATGTAGTCACAAGCCTGAGGACATTGTGAACTTCTATTCAAACCATGCCTAAAGCCCACCCTTACTTTTGGACTAATCACCTACAGAGTGAATAAATTTCCTTCTTAATTTTTTTTTTAACTTTTTCTTTTTAAACTATTTAAGACGCACAAGAAATTACAAAAATAGTACAGAGTTCCATATATCTTTCAGCTAGTTTTCCCCATTGATAATCCGATATAATAAAAGCCTAATATGCTAAGTGTCTGGCCCAGTTGGCCATTCAACCAATCAAAGCGTAATATGCTAATGATTTGCTATGGCCGCTATGATGTGCACTGACCACCAGGGGGCAGGCAGTCGACCAACCAGCCATTTGGTCACTTAGGCTTTTATATATATAGATTAACTAAGCTATTATTGGTCCTATTCAATTATAACAGTTTTTATATATACTTTTTTTGGTGTTTAGTACTATAAAAGTTTATCACATATGTAGCTTTTTATAACCACTGCCACAATCAGGATAAAGAATTTTTCTATCACCACAAAGAAACTTTTCATGCTATTCCTTTATATAGTCATACCTTCCTCCTAAACCTAATTCCTGGTAACCACTGATCCATTCTCCATTTTTATAATTTCATAATTTCAGAAGTGTTATATAAGTGGAATTATACAGTATATAACTTTTTGAGATTGGCTTCTTTTACTCTGCATAATACCCTTGAGATCCATTCAAAATATTGTGTGCATGGATAGTTCATTCCATTTCATAGCTACATATATTTCATTGTATGGTTGTACTATTTGCCCATTGAAGAACATTTGGGTTGTTTCCAGATTTTATCTATTAAATATAAAGCTGCTATGAACATTCATGTATAGCTTTTATATAGACATACATTTTTATTTTATAGGATAAATACCTAGCTGCATGATTGCTATTTTGTATGGTAGAGTGGGCTGAATGGTGGTCCCCAAAGAGATCAGGTCCTAATCTCTAGCCTCTGTAAATGTTGCCATATATGGTAAAGTTTTTGCAGATGTAATTAAATTGAAAATTTTGAGGAGATTATCCTGAATTATCTAGGTGGGCCCAAAGTGTCATCACAAGTGCCCTTATATGGGAAAGGCAGGAGATAGACACACAGAGATAGTGATAGGAAGACAGAGACAGGTATTAGAGTGATGCAGCTACAAGCAAAGGAATGCTGGCAGTCACCAGACAAAGAGGCAAGGGACAGATTTCCCCCTAGAGACTATGATTTTGGTCCAGCAAAATTAATTTTGAACTTCTGGCCCCTAGAATTGTGAGAGAATAACTTTCTATTATGTTAAGCCACCAAGTTTATGGTAATTTGTTACACTGGCCATAGGAAATTAATAAATATAATGGATGTATGGTTAACTTTATGAAAACACCAAACTGTCTTCCAAAAGTTGCTTCATCCCTTACTCGGTATTGCCAGTGTTTTCACTTTAGTATTCTGATAGCTTTATGCTCATTTAGTATTCTGCAGCTTTATATTCATTTCCTTACCAGCTCATGAAGGTGAAATATTTTTTCATGTGCTTATTTGCTATCTGTGAAGTAACTGTTAAAGTCTTTTGCACATTTCTTAATGGTATTGTTTGTTTTCTTAATGTTACGTTTTGGGGATTCTTTATGTATTCTGTATAAAAGTCCTTTGTTGGCATATTATTCCCCAGTAAGGGGCAAAAGTCCCCAGCTCTTCAGCTGATACTTACATCAATTGGTTCCTAGACCAAGCTGCCTCTGATCACCTTCTGATTGGTCAAAGTCCCTCTTAAATTATGGGGCTCTGAGCAGGAGAGCAGTTACTATAAGAATCATGTTCGGCCGAAGCCGGTTTGGCTCAGTGGATAGAGCGTCGGCCTGCGGACTGAAGGGTCCCCGGTTCGATTCCT